TGTTCAAAAGCAATATGCTATAAGCACAAATATTGAAGATGAATCAATAAATGAATCACAATTAGTTTTTTATTATGTACTTACTGATTGTGAAACACAATGGTCAAGTACTTTTAATGCATGGGGTCATTTGTTAATTTTAAGACCATTCATTGATATTCTTTCTACAACAATAAATGTAAAGAATGTTGATGTGAAAACAAAAAAAGATGGAAAGCAGTTAGAATAAATTAATCTAACTTCTGAAGAATAGTTATTTATCGAAGAGGTTATGCCAGTTCTAGGTAGTGTTTCAAATTAAAAATCGATTACGTAATCAAGTTAAGATTTACTTATTTGCACGAGTGATATAAATCCAAAAAGGAAAAAACTAATATATTTTTTTATTTGCATGTGAGTCATAACTTTAGAGTTATGGTTGGAGTTAGAATTAGTATATTCTAAAATTTGCAAGAATTTTTTTTATTAGAACATAAAAGTGATTTCTTAGACAGAATTTGAGTTACCGGCTATTTTTTGAAAAAGTTTTCATTTCATATTACATCACTAATCTTGTGATCTATATAAAAAAATTTTCTTATTTGGGGTTATATCACTGGCACAAAGAAGTGTACATAATCAAGTTGACAACTAATTAATAATTTATTAAATAACTCAATCATTTAATTAATTAATTAGTTGTTTTTAATATACTTGACTCCCGTCAATATCAACCTATTTAAATTGGTTTTATATTCATTAATCGATTTTTTAAAAATTTTGGTCAACTAATCGATTGTATCTTTTGGTTTTTAATTTAAAACACTAATTTTAGGACCATTCGCTAAAGCTATTGAAAAGCTGGAGAGAAGTTAATATTTGACCATAAGTTATATATACCCAGCGATTCAAAAAATTAAGTCAAGATTAAGTTGTTCTTTTGACCCTATCAATAAAAATAATGATAGTCAAGATGAATTAAAGGATGCATTTGATGATCTACAATTTGAAGACGAGGAGGAAGATGATGAACCAAAAGCAAAGCAAAGAATCAAAATTAATAATCCAGTAAATACGATTGGATTAATTGATGCAATTAAAGATAAATTTTATTATGCAATAAATGTCTATTATAAAGATTTAGAGCTTGATGGTCTTGTTGCTTCATTTTTGGATCCATATTAGAAAAATCTATCATTTATACTAAATTAAAAAAAATTAAAACAATTAATGAATTACGTCACCTATATAAAGAAGAAAATTCCAAGTACCATATAACAAGCTTATCTGTAAGAAAGGAAAGTGAGCTCTTACAAAAAAGGTTAAAAACAAAATTATATAGTAAAAGCTTGTTTGGTAAAAGTTCATTTGATTCTTGTGGTTCTGGTAATGGTGACGAAATTGATAGATATTTGGTATTACAAGAAATTTCTAAAGATCAAAATGCTCAAACTTGGTGGAAAGATAATAAAAAAAATTTTTTTGTTCTCTTTCAACTAGCAAGAAAGTATCTTGCTATACAAACAATATCAGCTGCAAGTGAGAGGCTTTTTAGTGATGCAGACAATATTATGACAGTTAAAAGAACCCATTTGAAACTAGAAGTATTTGAAAATTTAATTTTTCTTAAAAAAAATAGCCTGTTAGTAGGTGGAATGTTTGATTACAATAATGATAGTTATGAATAATTGTTTGAATTTTGATATTTTTTTTTTTTTTTAAATTCCAACTTGGAATTTTTTTTTTTTTTTTTAAATTCCAACTTAGAATTTTTTTTTTGAACATTCAGTTTTGCATCAGAATAGATTAAATAAAATAGAACATTTATTGTAAGTGAATATTAAAAAAATATATATAAATAAGATTATATATTTCAATAAATATGTATAATACAGAAAGTGATATGTTGTAGCAGTCAAAGTTCCCTTTCCTGATATGTTACTATCCAACATAACATAATGTTCGATTTATTTTATTTTTATTTTGTTCATTATTTTTATTTTTGTAAAAATGGAACAATCATTAAAACCAGAATGAAAGGAATTATCAGGTAAGTAGAAAAAAAAATAGTATTGATAAGAAAAAAAGTATCGATATTTTAATCTATAAAAATTATGTATAGAAGTAGTAGAAATTATCTTGAATAAAAAGTAACTCCCAGAGTTACAAACAATCTTCGAAATAAGAGTGTTTCTACCCTGTTATACTATTTTCTTGAAAATTAGTTGTCATTTATTGTCTTTGTAACTATCGTCTATTGTATTGTCAAATTTAGTAAAAGAAAAAACTGTATTAGTAATACAAGTTCTTATATATTAAAATCACCCTTGATTAAGTTTGTGATCAACATTATTGTCCTTGAGTCATAATCCTGTGATACTATGATCTTGTATGACATTCTGATTGGTCAATTTCGATCACAAAACCTAGCTGCAGTACCTACAAAATAAAGAATTTAGAATATTAACAAAGGTGTTCAAAAAAGTAAAGTACCTGTTAAAGAAATAAGAAAGTACTTATCTAAGTTCAACACTATTTCTGCTTAATAATTAACCCTAATTACTTGGACCAAGTTGTTCCACATCTTGATTGTTGCCTTATCAATATTAGGGTTTGGTTAAAGTAGTTTTACTATACTGGTTGAAGTATTTTAATTAGTAGTGGTATTTTTGAGTAGTGAGTTATTATATATCGACCTAATAACTTTTTCAATGCAGCTCATATTATTTATACTTTTTCAAGGTTGATTATTGTTATTGTTATGTTTGATCTCAATTTTTTTTTGTTTGTACTCCAGATTTAAAGTGTGCTAATGCTAACCTGTTATTTAACACATATACTGATAAAGGAAATCAGTATAAATAAGTATACATTGTGGTTGATTTATTACATATTCTGATCAATGAATAGATAGATAATTCTTTGTATGGTAAGTTTCTGATTTACTTCCTTATACTATAATGTTAAAATTAAATATTAATATATATATCCACTAATCAAGAAATTTAAAATAAAATCTTCAAACCTGGTTAAGCATATTTTTAAGGGAACGAATAAGTAAAACCTTAGCTATTGAGAACTTATATCCATACTAATAACATATAGAAACATTTTCAGTGTTTAATAAGAGAACAATATGGGGGACGAAATTTCTTATAAATACAATATAGTTAGTTTTGTTTAAAAATGAACTATAGATAAATTCAGACCCAGAATAAAACCTTCATTCGATTAATTAAAATAAGATTTGACGTGGATTAGTTTTTAAGTTATTTTAAAAAAAGATATTTTAATAAAATGCTTAAAATCATGATTTAAGTTTCATGATAATACATAAAATTAAGGAGAATTTACAAATAAGGGCCCAGAAAGTGAAAATAATTACAGATACGGGCCCAAATTAAAAATAATTACATATAAGGGTCTAATTTTTTATAAAATATTACATATAAGAGCCCAAATCTATTGATGGTAAAAAAAACATGATCATGGAGTACAAAATACTGTGCTTATAACAATTGCAAAATCACGATAATAGGATTATCAATTGTTTATCTATATACCGATTATTAGATAAAAGAATAAATGAAGCTTTGGTTATAATCATTTTCATTTAAATATTATATAAAAAATAGCGTTAAACTAGCACAATTATTTATAAGGTGAAGTTTCAGCAGAATAGCTCTCTAGATCTAAACAAACATCTTTCTTATTAGTAAATATTATACCAATTTGTTTCTTGATATCATAGTGGTTTGTTATAACAATAAATAATTTATACAAAGAAAATAAATTTTATTAAATTTAATAAAATTTCTTATTGATAATTACTAATTTACAATCAATCGTTACATTTTTTTATACACTTAATAACTATATTTATGATGCTTACGTTTTTTATGCTAATAACGATCGTGAACTAGTTCACAGTTCTTAAAATCGATTGTGAACTAGTTCACGGTCCTTAAAATCGATCATAAACTAGTTCACGGTCTTTAAAATCGATTGTAAACTAGTTCACAGTTCTTATAGTTGATCGTGAACTAGTTCATAGTCTTTAAAATCAATCATAAACTAGTTCACAATTAGTTTTAGAGACCGTGAACTAGTTCACGATCGATTTTAAAGACCGTGAACTAGTTCACGATCAACTATAAGGACCATGAACTAGTTCACGATCAATTTTAAAGATCATGAACTAGTTCACGATCAACTATAAAGACTGTGAACTAGATCATGATCAATTTTAAGGACTGTGAACTAGTTTATTATCAACTATAAGGACCGTGAATTAGATCACGATTGATTTTAAAGACCGTAAACTAGTTTACAATCAACTATAAAGACCGTGAACTAGATCACGATCAATTTTAAAGATCAAAATAACGATCAAAATAATGTTGCAGTTATTTTGGGCCCTTATATGTAATATTTTTTAAAAATTAAGCCCTTAGATGTAATTATTTTTAATTTGGGCCCGTATTTGTAATTATTTTCACTTTCAGTGCCCTTATTTGTAAATTCTCCAATTTTTTTTGTCAGTATATACATAGTATTCAACATGTGACCAAATAAATTATCTGATCTCGCAATAATGTACAATTTGTCACTTCATTAACGAGCTTCCAGTTATTTACAATTTATTTATAAAAAAAATTACCTTGATATAACAAATACCTTAATAAAGTGAAATATTTTGAAGTATAATAAAACTTTGTATAATTTAATTGTAGTATCTTTTTTTTTAATTGTTTATCTTAAATTTGTATACGATGTTATTATACAAGCTGCTTTAGGTAAGTAATTTAAAATTGCATATGATATTACATTGTATTTGGCTTTTTGTAACTTAATGCTTCACGTCTATTCTAGAATACTTTATTAAGAATTTAAAAGTCAAGACATTTTTTTTATAGTTTTATTTTATGCAAGGGGTGTCATTATAATAAATCATTACTGTTAGACCAATTAATTTTAGGGAATTTACAAATAAGGGCTCTGAAAGTGAAAATAATTACAAATACAAGCCCAAATTAAAAATAATTACATCTAAGGGCTTAATTTTTTAAAAATATTATATATAAGGGTCCAAAATAACTGCGATGTTATTTTGATTATTATTTTGATCTTTAAAATCGATCGTGAACTAGTTCACGGTCCTTAAAATCGATCGTGAACTAGTTTATGGTCCTTATAGTTGATCGTGAACTAGTTTACGGTCTTTAAAATCGATTGTAAACTAGTTCACAATTGATTTTAAGGACTATAAACTAGTTCACGATCAACTATAAGGAACATAAACTAGTTCATGATCGATTTTAAGAACCGTGAACTAGTTCACGATCGATTTTAAGGACTGTGAACTAGTTCATGATCGATTTTAAGGACTGTGAACTAGTTCACAATCGTTATTAGCATAAGAAACGTAAACATCATAAATGTAGTTATTAAGTATATAAAAAAATGTAATGATTTATTGTAAATTAGTAATTATCAATAAGAAATTTTATTAAATTTAATAAATTTCATTTTCTTTGTACATATAAATTGTTTATTGTTATAACAAACTACTATAATATCAAGAAACGAATTGGTACATATAAATTGTTTATTGTTATAACAAACTACTATAATATCAAGAAACGAATTGGTATAATATTTATTAATATGGAAGATGTTTGTTCAGATCTAAAGAGCTACTCTGCTAAAACTTCGCCTTATAAATAATTGTGCTAGTTCAACGCTATTTTTTATACAATATTTAAATGAAAACAATTATAACCAAAGCTTCATTTACCCTTTTATTTAATAATCAGTATATATATAACTCTATATACCTATAATAAAACAATTAATAATCCTATTATCATAATTTTGCAATTGTTATAAGCATAGTACTTTGTACTCTGTGATCATATTTTTTTTACTATCAATAGATTTGACCCTTATATGTAATTATTTTTAATTTGGGCCCATATTTGTCATTATTTTCACTTTCTGAGCCCTTATTGGTAAATTCTCTGAAAAATTCTATATTATTGTCCATAGAAAAACTTTCATATGATTGGCTGTTTAAATTAAATTAATTTTATATTTATACAGTTTAAAGTACTTTTTAAAAAAAAATCAAACTATGAAGAATAA